TCTTACTTTACAGCATTTTTTCACATCTGCCTAAAACTTTTGCACAGTACTGTGTGTGTATATATACATACATGCAGTATATCCTTCGATTCAGTCCACAAAGTGCAGCTGGTAGTGGTAATTTAAACAACCACTAACTGTTGGCATGATTACAGTGTAAATTTGTATGTGGCCTAGTGAATACTTCAGTAAACAAACTTGAAAATAGTTAAAAGAGATAATGTTGCTAAATTTCACCTTTGTATTTATCTTGCTGGTCTAGAAAGATTCCTTGGCATCTTTAAAGTTATTTTTGTGGGCGTAGGGATTTACTAACTAAACTACCAGAGTAAACTGGAATTAGCTCATACTTTCCAGATCCAAATACCACTCCTCTTGCTTTTACTTTACAGAAATGTTCTGCGCAAGCTGTTGACCCAGCCACAGCAATCGAAGGGAGATGTTCTCTCGCTGGAAGAGATTTTAGCAGAGGGTGTGGAAAGTGATACATCCAGCCAAGGAAGCTCTAATGAGGGCCAAGTTAAGTTGTGCAAAACCAGAATGAAAGCTTTACAGGAGGCCATGTATTACAGTGCTGAGCATGGTTATGTTGATATCACAATGGAGTTGAGAGTACTTGGTAAGATTTTGTTTTTTTCACAGAAAAATTTGCTTGAGTCTCCTTATCATTGTAAGGCATGGAAGCATTCCAGAAGTCGCATGTATGTGTGGGTGTGTATGTGTGTGTGGGTGGGTGTATATCTACACATACATACATACACACACACACACACACACACACACATACTGTATATAATGCTGAATCTGTTTTAAAGGACTACCAGATCTGGGTTGCAAAAATTCAGACAATTTCTAGATGGCAGCAAAGAGGAGGCTTCTGTATCTCTTTGCTACCATCTAGGTCACCTGAGGGACTGCCTCTCCCTGATTACATCTGCCTGTCCCATCAGATCTGGCAGAGAAGGCATGCTGCGGATCCTACCTGCTAGAGAATTACATTTGGCGGGTCCTGGAGGTGGGCATTCTCTGCTGTAGCGCCTGCCTTGTGGAATCTTTTCCCCCCGGAAGTGCAGTTAGCTCCATCCCTCTTAACATTCCATAAGTCCCTCAAGACCTGGCTATGTGATCAGGCCTGGGGCTCCCAGGGGACCGGGGAGATTTTACGATGG